ATTTCCGGCATTTCAATGTTAAGCTTGCTTTCGCTCACGACGCAATGAGTACACCCCCCCTTTTGCTGCTTTATGGTATATTTTTTAATAACAAACGAGTTCGACCATATGATAGACTTAGGTATCATAAGACTGTCAAGCAGACCATGGGCATCTCCGTCGCACATGTTCCCTAAAAAGGACAGCAACGGTTGGCGTCCAACTGGTGACTATTGGTGTTTGGATGCAAAAACCACTCCCGAACGTTTACCGTTGCCCGACATTCACGACTTGATGGCTACCTTAAAAGGCACAATTGTCGTTTCGAAAATCGACTTGGTTAAAGCTTATAACTAAATTTCAATGGCCACTGACGATATCTCAAAAACCGCAATCATTACTCCTTTCGGTCTTTATGAATTTTCGAGCATGCCTTCCGGCCTAAGAAATGCTGCTCAAACATTCCAAAGGCTCATAGATGACGTTTTTGGAGGTCTCAACTTCGTATGTTGATGACTGCTCGGTGGCGAATCCGGACAGAGAATCCCATCTCCAGTATCTGGATCAATAAGTCAATCAATCTGTGATGTGGATTGTCATCTTACGACCACCACTCAGACTCATGTTTCCAATTTTATGCTGGGTTAGCTACTTTCACCAAGACAACCTATAACATGCTAACTCGGACTTTTACACTAGGATTGTGTATCTGGCATCGGACGGACAAAAAAAGAAAAGAAAGAAAAAAGTAGACAATAAAAGATATAGTTAATAGTATTCTTAACACTTCACCCTCTATATGCACACTCCGTTCTAATAAACCGCTTTCCTTGTACCAACCCTGACTTCCCTTCCTTCATGTGAGCTGACGCGAACTTGTTAAACATCACAACTTATTGTTCTTGATTACTACATTCTCTTATATGGAGCCTATGACTTCATTTCACTCTAACAAGAGATAATATGGATTTAACCTAACTTATTATACCTCTGTCTGTTCTACCACAAAATGTTAAGCAAAGTTTGGCGTTCATATCCAAGTGCCTTGCTGCTCTTCTGTTTCTCTTTTTTCTTGCTCTGAGGGCACAGCTATGGGATCTCTGGCGTCTGGAAAAAATTTGACGTACGTGTCTCCTCAAGGTTATGGTTTACAACAAACGCTCTACGACTCTACTTTATAACAACTATAAACTTAATAAGTTGGGAAGCATGCTGTGCACCAACAAATGTTGTAATTTGTAGATCATGCCTGTAAAAAATGTACCTGCTCATGCAGAAACATATTATTATTATCTTCTGTTTGAACGACTATAAAAGCATGGCATTACTGTAAACACTCAGAAATGCCGAATAGGATCCGACTTTTTAGACTTGCTAAAACACACTATTGATGCGCAAGGCATCCGACCTATTAGAAGCAAAGTGGCGGCCATTCTGGATTACCCAGAACCGACCACCATCAAGCAATTACGCACATTTGACGGCCTTGTAAGTTTCTATAGACGCTAACATCCAACTTCGTGGCAATGCGATATCCATTAGCCTGGACGACACCGCGCGAAAAGCATTCTCCACAGTTAAGGAACTTGTAGCTAAAGCAACAATCTTTGCACATCGGGACACTCAAGCACCCATGAGTGTCGCAATAGACGCATCCGATTCAGCAATCAGAGTCTTACAACAATGGGTTAACCACTCTTAGCAACCTTCGGCATTTTTCTCTAGACGGTTGCTAGACACCGGATCGAGGTACAGCACATTCGGTAGGAAAATCTTAGCTACGTATTGTACCGTAGGGCATCTTCAACACTCTGTTGAAGGCCGAGAACTTACTATTTTTACTGACCATAAGCCGCTTACTTTTTCTTTAAGCTCCTCTTCAGACAAGTACTCACCACGTGAGTCTCAAAAACTGGACTAAATTTCGCAGTTTATTTCAGATACACAACACATTTCTGGAGTAAAGAATGTAGTTGCCGACGCGTTGTCCCTCATGACGTCCTTGAACAGTTTCCAAAGGATCGACCTTCTTAAACTCGCCCAGCTTCAAAATGAAGACACCGATCTTCAGCACGAGTTAGCCTCAACAACACTTGAATGGCCCATTAAACAGATGGGAACAGGTAAGGAAACCCTACTTTGTGACACATCTTCAGGTAGCGATCACCCAACTGTGCTGAAACATTATCGGCGCAACGTCTTCAATACGTTGCACAAGCTTTCTCATCCAGGTGTTCCAGCAACCATCAAGCTCATAGCAGGACGGTTTTGCTGGCCTGGTATGAATAAAGACGTGAGGGAGTGGGCACGCTGCTCTGTAAGCCGCCAGAAATCTAAGGTTATTCGATACAACAAATGTCCCTTGATCTCATTCACAACTGCCAATGCTTGTTTTGACCATGTTCATCTTAATTTGGTGGGACCCTTACTAGATTCAAATTGATATTCTTATCTTTTACCCTGCGTAGACAGTTTCATTCGGTGGCCGGAGGCAGTGTTGTGAACAAGAACACGGGTGGGGACAATCGATTGTATTTAGCACAAAATTACAGACTATCTCAATAACATGTGAATACCATAAAGTCAATCGTCAATTTGCAAAATATCATTCCATCATATCAAACTGTACTGTTCCCGTTTCAAACACTAATCCATTGTCTCCCATTCCATTGTACATGCGTTTTCTTACAATTCCATTGTGCTCTTGCTCTTTCTTTCTTGATCTTCGCCATCTTCTGCTGCCGGACATTACGTCCTTTTAACGCACGTTATATACTACTTATATCAATATAAGTAGCTCACACCACACTCGTCCCCCCCCCCTTAAAGCAGTCGTTCTTGTGGTGGTTCATGCCCGCCGTGCAACATTCTCCGTCTCTGCAGTCTGTGCCACGCTCTCCGTCAAGATGTCGAGTCTGCGGCGCGCTGACTTCCACAGCTCTGTCGACCTGCCGGGGTAACAACAACCAACATCCACCCGGCACCTGGGACGCTTGACATCTGCACTCCACCGGCCTGCTGAGCCATCTACATCCGATGTCCGCCCAGCAGCCGCGCGTCCCGACGCTCCACTCCGTTGACAGCACCCGCTACAGCCAACGCAGCCCTGCCAGGACACTTCACCGGACGCCACCTCTCCGCACCGGACTGCCCCAACTGGCACCTCAACTCCAGGCCCGCAACGGCGTCCGCAGAACAGCACACTCCTCCTCTCCTGGTTGGCAGCGACACCAAGTGTTGTGAACAAGAACACGGGTGGGGACAATCGATTGTATTTAGCACAAAATTACAGACTATCTCAATAACATGTGAATACCATAAAGTCAATCGTCAATTTGCAAAATATCATTCCATCATATCAAACTGTACTGTTCCCGTTTCAAACACTAATCCATTGTCTCCCATTCCATTGTACATGCGTTTTCTTACAATTCCATTGTGCTCTTGCTCTTTCTTTCTTGATCTTCGCCATCTTCTGCTGCCGGACATTACGTCCTTTTAACGCACGTTATATACTACTTATATCAATATAAGTAGCTCACACCACAGCAGTACCTATCAAACACATCACTGCTGAAACAGTGGCTCGCACCTACGTCGAACGATGGGCAGCAAACTTCGGCTGCCCTTCAGATATCTCTACCGACCGCGGACGTCAGTTCGAATCTGAACTTTTCAGTTTTCTGACCACAGTTTTACGAATCACTCGCTTCCGAACGACCGCCTACCACCCACAAGCAATCGGGTTGGTAGAACGCTTTCACCGACAACTAAAAGCTTCACTATCAGCTGTGAACGTTAAAAGGCGAACCGTCGCTCTTCCACTCGTCTTACTATGTATTCGCAATGCAGTGAAGGCTGACATTGAATACATTGATCACTTATCCGACAACCAACACGCAAGGTTGATACTTCGGCGTTATCTGAAAGTAAACTTAAAACAGCGCGTTCTAGAAGAGGAGTAAAATCTCAAGAGCATTTGAACGAGTATTGCAGGGAAGACAACGGTTAACATTTTGCTTCATCTCCATTTTTATCAGCATTATATATAATAGTAAGAAAACCGACTTTAATATGCTCGATATTTATATATTTATTTTTAAAAAACATTTTTCACAATATATGTATATTAAGTTTCTTTTGAAAACAAAAAGACAGAAAATCGTTTTCTAAAAATTGTTTATACGTTATCTAACGTGTATAAACTTATTTTCTTTTTCTCGACTACTTTGTGTCTTAAAGCGTGTACGAGTTTATTTTGACATGCACTTATATATTCTTTTTTCTTTACCAGGACGGCTGGAAAAGACGATAAAAGAACGATGAGGATTACGAGGAACCATAATTTTCATTGTACAACATTTTTTTACTATAATGTACTTCATGGTCCTTTATAGTAAGGAGGACGACCAGACAATTCTAAGCATAGCGAGCTATCAGAGGAGGTTTAGCCAACAACAAACTCGTTGGCTCTAAGCTTCTGTCTGGTCACGTCTTAGGGTCATCATTACTCCACTAGGAGTGATCTATAGACGTAAATAAATCCCCAAAATAAATAGCTCTGTAAATTTTCAGCATTTGGTGCTGACCACATTAGTTTTAGTGGATTCACCTAGCTGAAGGCGCCTATTCATGCATCCGCACCAGATCAAGAGTGGATACCCCGTGCTCAACATCTACTGCAATCGCTAGCCAGATCAAATCAGACAATCCACGATATATTGATAGCTTATCAAATTTATCTTCGAACCACTTTGCCTCTGTCTTTCTATTTCACTTAATGTGTACGATGCATATTAGAAAGTGTTACTAGTAAAAGCGTTGTCAGGCTCCGAAAACCTGAGGCGTCTTCAACTCCTTACTTGGAGTGTAACTATTAGCGAAGACCCAAATACTTTACTCTATTCAGCACCAGTTCAGATAAGTCAAGTTGTCCATTTCACTTTCTCAAGTTGATGATAGCTACTTTGCGAATTGTACAAGTTTGCAGAAAGACTTTGTTTAAATATGTAGAGTATACATTTCTATGGTGTTAAATTAGTCCGCATATATGAACTTACTGCGCTATCAAATAATTTTACTGGTGCAGTTTTTGTTAATATTATATGATTTGTTTGCCAATGCATCCTCTGAATTGTTTAGTCACGTTAATGTTAATCTTTCGGTTATATATGTGTAAGAACACTACAATATGTAATTAATTATTTCATCCTAGCGTTCAGGACCTATGTATACTTTTCTGCAGTTTGATTTTTTGCCTACTTCTGTCTAGCACGTTCGTTTTTCAAGCGGGCTATATAAATCTTCTCTTGTCACAATTCAAAGATGCTATACTCGTTACATTGTGCTATCTGATTTTGAGTATTTCTTTACATTGCTGGGGAGCGGTACGAAAATTTGTAAATCTTACTCATTTCTAGATATCGAGATGGAACGATCCTGCTAAGATGCCATCTTCAGTCGGATACCAAATACTCTATGCTTTTCAGAGGACATGTAAGTAAAAGGACTCATTTGAATCGCATACACATTTGTAAAATTGTACTCAAGAAAATGTCATTAAACTCTGGTATTCTCAGTTTACACTCACGTATAATGTTTTGATCTAGTACAACTATGAAGTTAAGCTCGCAAAGTAACTTGGCGAAAATCAGGGGCATTTTTGGTTTTACCTGAAACATTACTTTAAATAGTATTTTTATGGCAAATAAATAACCGAGATGTTTTATCTGAAAATATCATGTCCGACTTCCAGTTTCTAACCAGTAAAGATTCTTGATTTTTGCAGTCATAGCTGAGAAGCACAACTACTAGTACATCTGGCTGAAGAAAAGTTTGTCGGTTTGGTAAAAACTGGATGATGAAGAGACGTTATGTAATACCACACTTTAAAGTACAAATTGCTTATGAAGCATAAATATTTATGACAGAAAAATGCACGCATTTAAGACTATCAAATATGCTTAGTTATTTTCTAAAAATACTACAACTACATAAGATATCATACAGTAATCCATATAATCATGGAATATATGAACCTGTCTCGCTGAAAAATTTGTCCCTCAACGTTATGGTCTGTAGCCTGGTTCATTCAACAAAAATGCTCTTTGCACTTGAATGATCCAGTGACGTATATGCTGAAGTCCATCAAAAATGCCTGTAACTTGTGTTTATCTATTGGTAACCAGTCTGACTCAAATAGCGACTTTTGAACTCTGACCATAAAGCTGAATATATCCCTACCTTAGAAGACTGCTCAATGAATGTTGGGTTGTTTACCAAAGTTTATTGAGTATGATTATTACAAACCAATCATTGCGCCGGACGAAAATGGTACATACGTCTTTCAGTCCATCCTTATACATATTACATTTTTATTCTCTTTGTATTTAAGTACAAAATTCACTTGGTAAAGTTCTATCTGTTATACAACCTTGACATGGAAGCAGGACAGCTTAATTACCAAGAGGATGCGTCAGGATAGATATCTATCCTATAGTTTGACTTGGATATAAGAGTACTTAAGTAGGATAATCACAGCATTTCAATCCAGCTGTGATGTATGAAACCCATTATTCGAATTAAATGAGTAAATGGATCTATAGAAATGATAGTCATAAAAATTACAATATTGTATTTCACTAAAAACAATGAAGGATTATCATTTCCGAATTCACATAAGCGTTTCATATCAAAAGTAAAGATAACTTTCATGTAATAGGTTTTTAAATAATTAGCAACTATTTAGATATTTTTTATAGCATGTTTATTTACTGACTAATGTCAAGTAACATTTGTACTTTACTAAATTTTAATTAAGGGTCAGTATTATACTACTTTTTTTACAAGAGAACAATTTATCGACTAGGAGATTCTAGATATTATGAAGACCGTGAATGGATAAAGAAACAAATCGAAAATAATTCTTGAAGATAAAAAAATCATTATTTATATTTGAAAAACTGCATACTTCTGACTATCTTTGTGTAGCAAACAACATCTCAAATAAATGATTTTATGTGCAAATTAGCTTACCTAAAATTATCCAAAAAGAATGTTAAAGATACTTTAGTTTTTAATTTGACCCTTTTACTTGCCGATTTCTCTCAATATTTTTAACCTATTCATTGCTGTGTTAAAAACGACTAGGGTCCAGTAAGGAAGTTGTCAAATAAAATTATGAGGCTTTGTTCCTTAACTTGATCAGGATGTAAATTAACAACGATATTAATCTTAGAAAAATTCCCTTCATTGGTAATAATTTTCTTAGGGGGGTCAACTGGATAATCAAGCTAAGACAAACCACTCACAACTCTGGTGTTTTTGCCTTGAAAACAATTTTAGAACTTTTTTCGTGGAATCCGAATTGTACCGGGAACGGCCTACCAAAGTAGGGATGGAATATTAATACACGCCAAATTTACGGTTCCGAATGGAGTGTAGCGGATAAATGTATTACTATACGAATCAGTCATGCACATCAACATAAGTGCCATAAAGAGGACTTACAACTATAATAGACAGGTACTAGTTCCAAGAACAATTTTTTCTCGACAGAACTTTCGACTCTACTTGGATTCTTACTCAAGCAAGCCCCGGTTGGGTTAGAATTAGGAACATTTATAAATAGCTAAATCTGAGACTAGAGTATACCACTTTAGACTCATGTTGAGAATAGTGTCTTTAAGTTATATATTTTGCTTCGCAGAGACCAAGTGAATTAATAACTGGACAACAAAGCAATAACGCGGGATAATAAACTAGCATAACCAGGGAAAGCTTTAATCTGACTGACTTTTTTGAAGAATTGGCTGTAAGTATCTGTAGTCAGTCATATGCACCGTGGAACCTCGTAAATATATGCGTGGGTTTGACATGCAAAAAATATCAACACGGTAGAGCGAAGTTATCGAGATGAATGTTGGTAAGCCTCAAGTGTATTACAGAACCATTTGGGATCGAAAAAGTGACTTTAAGGTCAAAGCGTGTAAATCGATCTTGAACGAAGTTTTTCGAATCATATTAGATCAAGGTGTTAACTGTGGATCATATAATGATTACGTATAATAAGGAAAGTATCATTTACTATTTAAAGGATGTTAGATTGCTAGGAAAGTACTCACATGTAGATGAGGAAACGGAATAGCTGTTTAAGATTGGGATTATGAATTGTGATATATATAATAGGCCTGAACATTGCTCTTGGTCTTAAACTTCAACGTCGAAGGACCTATAACCATATTAGAAAAGTTCATTATTCACCTGAAAACAAAACCAGTAGAAGCAACAGCAGTGTTAGTGATGGTAAAAAAAATAGAAGTAACGAATATGATATACGAAAAATGAATAAGTTTAAATAATAAAAGGTACGACGTAAATTTGAACGTTAGCGTCTACAGATAAACAAAAAGTAAATTTTTCTGACCTAAGTCACCTGGAGTTTTCAACTATAGGTCACATTAACCACGCGAGCACCAACCAGGTTTATTGCACTTATAAGCATGGCTGTTTACAAGTCAAAGACTTCAGAGACTGATCACATGTTTTGGTTTGGTCACCTTTGTCTTTCTTTCAACCTACTCCGATACCAGCCATCATCGCGCTTTGAAGTATGCAGTGATTGGGCAAACGCAGTGTATGTCCTAACTGCTTCAGTAGATGAATGTTTACAATATTTACCTAGTACCTTTGTGATGTGAGCTACTTATATCCACATAAGTAGTACATAACGATGGTCAGAAATAGAATGTATTTCAGTGGAAGATCAAGAGGAAAAGAACGGAAACAGGAAGCGATTGGTATGAAAACGCATGAACAATGAAATCTGAGACGATGAACTGATATTTGCAGAAGTAACAGTTAAGTTTGAAACAATTGATTGATATTTTGCAAATCAACTATTTACTGTATGATTCTCAGATTTTAGTGAGATGTTCTGTAATTTTGTTTTTGTTCACCGCACCTTGAGTTCGATCTCCGAATTGCTAACTCAGCGGTCTCATCATACGCAACCAATGCTTTAAAGACACTTGTAATTAAATGCTTGAACTCTGTGAATGTCACGAAATTTTAAAAATCATACTCATTAAAATAGAACGTGGCAAATTCCTATGAAGTATATTCACCATTCAGTTTGATAGAAAGACTTCTCACTTATGTCACAAGTGATAAAAATCGATTAAAGAGGATAAAACTATCCAGATGCATTCAGATAATTCACCAAATACCAATTCGCCTAGGGTGATAAGAATCCAAAGATAAGTGAAGTGATCAACGCACTCAAGTGCTTCGCTCTCGATAATCAATATAGACAATGAGTGACACAAGCAAGTTTCGATGCAAAATTTTTCATTTAGATGAAAAGGAATGCACTCCAAACATCCTTGCGTTGTTGCTCAAGGCGGTCAGAAGATCCCGTTTACTGTCAGTATCTAAACTCCACCTGTAGCTCTTCTAGAGTTACTACCGGTTCCAAGCCCACACAAAGGAGGAGGGTTGGACATGGGGTCGGCAACCTCATCTCGTAGGAAAAGACCTTGCTAAAAAACACCAACCAGATTAAATAAATCACACCATTTAAATTTTGTCCTGGTAGTTGAAAGAAGAATTTTGACGCCTCATGATAAAGACCAAAATTCTTCGAAAGTCACGAGGCTGATGCTCCTTCTAACAACCAGAGTAACAGTTTCTATAGGTAAATGGGACGTTCGGAGAATAAGGGAAACCGGGAGGATCAGTCTAATAGCTACGAAAATGAGGAGATGCAACATAAAAATACTCGAAACCAGCGAAACCCATTAAATTCAAGCTGGAGATCAAAGGCTAGATACGGGAGAGATGCTGCTATACTCCGATCGCGAAGTGGAAAATACTCTACACATTCAGGAATTTTCTCTAATGTTGTCCAAAGTAGCACGAAATGCACTTGTAGGATGGGAATATCAAGGATCCAGAATCATCAAAGCATCATTCAAAACAAAGAGGGAGGGGAACACAATGAATGTTATCCAATGTTATGCACCCACCAATGATAGCAACGACGACAATAATGACCAGTTCTATGGGAGGCTGCAATCAATCATAGAGAAATGCCCAAGAAAGGACCTCACCATTCTGATGGGAGATCTCAACGCCAAAGTTGGAAAAGACAACACCGGATATGAAGATATCATGGGACAACATGGACTGGGAGAGAGAAATGATAATATAGAAAGATTTGCAAATCTGTGTGCATTCAACAAACTGGCAGCACAATACACCTACACAAACGCATACACAAAGCCACATTGGTCTCACCAGACAACACCACAGAGAACCAGATAGATCATATTTGTATCAATAAGAAATTCCGAAGGACGATTGAAGATGTGAGACACAGAAGAGGAGCTGACATAACTTCAGATAATCAACTGGTTGTGGCCAATATGAATCTGGAGAATCACTGGACAACTCGGGAAACAGCATTACAAAGATTTAATACAGTCTTCCTTCGAGATACTAACAAACTCAACGTATTCAAGATAGCTCTCAACAACAGATTCCAAGCCTTACAGGATATATGTGATAATTAGGAGTATTTAAATTATAGTACAAACTAAGAATCCCAGAAATAACGCCATTTAACCAAGAAGTATTAGATGTTCACGAACAAATGCATACTATTTGGAATTCAAAATCAAGCAGTCAGCAAGTACAAAAGGAATCATTAGTTCATACTAACACCACAATCTACAGAAAGAAGAAACTGCTATGGAGGACAACTGAAAAGGTATCAAAGAAGCAATGATGTCAACATATCAGGAGGTTCTGGGCCGCAAGAAGCATCATCATAACAAATGGATTTCTATCGAAACCCTGGACAAGATTCAGGAAACGTAGAACAAGCAGACAGCAACTAACAACAGCCGGACACGAGCGCAAACTGCATACACAGAAGTGAAGAGGAGTATTAGAGTTGACAAGCAGAGATTCTTGGGGGACATGGCGACGACGGCATAAAAAATCTGCAAGAGAAGGAAATATGAAACAACCCTATGGTGGTATGAAGAGAAACTGGCAGGAAAATATAGTAAACCAGAGATAGCAGTCAAGAACAAACAAGACAAGCCAATCACTGAGATTCAGGAACAGCAGAACGGGTGGGTAGAACGCTTTGAAGAACCCTTGAATAGACCAGCCTCATCAAACCCACCAGACATAGAAGCGGCGTACACAGATCCTCCTTTAGCTGTCACTACAATAACGATCAGAGAAATCAGGATGTTCATCAGGCAAATCAAGAGAGGGAAAGTAACAGGACCTGACAACATATTAGCTGAAGCACTGAGGTCAGACGTAAAGTCACTGCAAAGGTGCTCCACATTCTATTCAGGAAGGTTTGGGGGGAAGAACAGGTGCCGACAGGATAGATAGAAGGATACCTCGTCAACCTACCAATGAGAGGAGATCTGAGTAATTGTGAGAACTACAGAGGCATCATACTACTATCGGTACCAGGAAAAGCTTTCAACAGAGTGTTGCTGAACCGGATGAAAGACTTAGTAGACGCCAGAATTCCAGATCAACAGGTCGGATTCCGTAAGGATCAGTCGTGTATAGACCAAACTGAGACAATACGGATCATCTGTGAACGATCGATTAAATGAAACTTGTCACTATACATCAACTTCATTGACTATGAGAAAGCGTTTGACAGTGTGGACAGGAGAGCATTATGGAAACTTCTTCGACACCATGGAGTCCCTAAGAAGATTGCCAATATCATCCGAACTACAGTGCGAAGTCGTGCATGGAGGACAGCTAACAGACACATTGAAATTAAGGACTGGAGTAAGACAAGATTGCCTTATCTCACCTTTCCCAATTCTTCTGGTGGTTGAATGGATTGTGGAAACCCCTGCATCTCATAGGAAGCACGGAATACAATGAACAGCTTGCATGCAACTATACAATATAGACTTCGCAGACGACCCAACTCTTCTATCCCATACACACCAAAAAATTAGTTTAAGGCAGCCATTATAGCAGCAGCCTGTGTAGCAGTAAGCCTCAACATACACAAGGGAAAAAGCTGGATCCTCAAATACAACACGGAGAACACCAACCCGATCACACTCGATGGAGAAACTGGAAGATGTGGAATCATTCACGTACCTATGAAGCATCATCAATGAACGTGGATGACCCGGAGCAGACGTAAAGGCAAAGATTGGCAAAGCAAGGACAGCATTTCTACAATTGAAGGACATATATAATTCAAAACAAACTTCAAACAATGTCAAAGACAGAATCATCAATACGAAGGCCAAGACAGTTCTACTGTATGGAGATGAAACTTGGAGAACTACCACAACCACCATCAAAAAAGTAAAAGTATTTACAAACAATTGTTTACACAATATACTCAATGTCCGTTGGCCGGATACTATCAACAATAAACTACTGTGGAAGAGAAAGAACCAACTTCCAGGTGAAGAGGAAATTAGGAAAAGACTTTGGAAGCGGAAATCACCAAACTGCATTCCAAGGCAAGCACTAACTTGGAATCTTCAAGGGAAGCGCAAAAGAGGAAGACTAAAGAACACACTGTATCGAGAATTGGAAGCACATAGCGAAGGGACGAACAGCAACTGGAAAGGATTGCCCAGGACAAAGTTAGATGGAGAATACTGGTGGGCTGTCTATGCTCCTCCACCAAGAATAACAGGCGTAAGTAAGTAAGTGAGTACCTACTTAAGACCACTGAATTGATTTATAAAATTCGTCCTGAATACTGACTTTCTAACTGTTATTTTTTATTAAATTTTTACTTCCGTTAGATAAATGAAACAACTTTTTATTTATATCACTCCTGGAACTTTTGGTGAATCTTTTGTTCAGTTTATTCGAACAATGCAGAAGTAATGAAAAAAACTTTACTTACTGACCACCTAGTGTTTAAAAATCGGTCAACTTGTTGTTCTATATATTTTATGTGCTGGTTTATCCTTTCAGTGAACTCAGTAGCTGAGTAGATAACGTGATGACGTTTGAAGTGAATGATACTTGGTTCGAGTCCCAGAGTGAACATCAACTCTCTGAGATGCAGGTTATTCTTTCAGTAAACCAATACTGATCCTTCACAAAACAATATAAAATTGTTATTCATTTTAATTCCTTTCATATAATAAAATTTCAGTCTAAATAGTGATTGAAAAATATGAATGTTTATTTTAATGTTCTCATAACATGTAATAACCATCTTATCCGTGTATCTTACTTAAATGTTCAATGCCTAAATTAAGCTTCATATACTTTTGGTTAATGGTCATTAATTAGACAGGAAAACCTTCAGTATTT